CTCCCCCCCAGCTGCCATCGCACCCCCCCGCCCCAGCCGGAGCAGCCCGTCTGGCCCGCACGGCGCCAGCGTCAGAGAGGGGCCTCTCGTTTTGCACTGCCGCCTCTACTCCGGGCATTACGGTACCTCCTGCAGGGTGGAGGGGAAGCTGGTCTCCACCAGGCAGAACTCGGGCACGCACTGGAAGGTGACGCTCAGGACCACGCCCAGGCAGCCCAGGTGCAGCCGGGCAGCCTGGAAGATTCGGGGGCTGGCGGACTCGGAGCACTCCAGGATCTGCCCGGACGCCGTCAGCAGAGTCAGCGCCACCACCTGTCGGGGAGACGAGGATGCGCCACTGCCCGGAGGCTGAGCGCGGCATCCCCACCCCCGCAGGGCAGGGGCTCTGCGCCCTTTCCAGCCCCTGGGCCCCCGCCAAGTGGGGGGGTCTGGGTGGGGGTTTGGGCCCAGAAGGGAACTTGAGGTGAGGGATCGGGGTGCAGAAGCAGGTGGGGGTCTGCACTGCTGCTGCCATCTCCCAGACAGAAACCATCTAAAATATAAGCCCAGAGCCTGTGTTCGTACCTTTCCGCACAAACCCCCCTACAGTCCATGAGTAGCCTAGATAGAGTCAGCCACGCGTCAGCTTCCATCAGACACCTCTGTGACGTAGTGGGGGTACTTGCTGGGCTGTGGTGACCCCTGCTGTCTGGAGCAAGACCCAGCAGGGAAAACCTCACTAGGCAGAGGTAATGCCAAACTTGTTGAACCAGTGGCCAGACACCCCCCATGGAGAGGAACAAAGGAAGGTGGAATGCTGCGCGTCAGCTTTCATCAGACCCCTCCCATCGCCCGCTTTGCTGTGCACCCCGTCTGGGGCAAACACGCACCCGTGAAACCAACAAACCCTCTGGCAGCGCTTTATAGACACCGACGCCGTCATGCGCTTCCGTGGGCACAGCCCACTTCTTCAGAGGACCGGCGTGTTGGATGTCTAGGGCCAAAATAAATAGGGGAGACGGGAGTCGGGGTGGAAGAAGGGAAAATTGGGAGGGGGGAACAAGAAAAGCTCTTCCTCTTACATCCCCTGGGAGGAGGCCAGGCAGAACTGCATGCCCTGGGCTCCTGAGCGCAGTTCTTGCCTAGTCTCCAGGAGCACTAGATACTCCAAAGACGGGGGAGGAGTAAAGGCCTTAGCTCCCCCCAGCCCCCCACACTGGCCTTTCGGATCCTGTCTGCAGGTGCCCAGACCCTGATCTCGGTGCCCTCTGTTGGTGCATCTGGGGCAGTGCCTCTCCGCCCTGCCCTCCGTGTGGGCCAGGGGCTCATGGGTCCCAGGTGAGCCCATAAGGTGCTTGAATTTGTGTTTCCGTGCGGGATACGCAGGGCAGCTGGTATCTTGTGTCCTGGGTATCTCACGCCAGGGAAGGAGGTGCTACTCCCCAGTGTGGACACCTTTCTTCTCTCCCAGGCTCTCCAAGATGCAGGGTCTGGTGGGGTAACTGGACTGTGATGAGTATCAGAGGCGTAGCCGTGTTAGTCTGAAGCTGCATACACAAGGAGAAGTCCAGTGGCACCTTATAGAGTAACAGATTTATTGGAGCATAAGCTTTTGTGGGCAGAGACCCACTGTCAGACGCATGGAGTGCAAATTCCAGAGGCAGGTATCATAGAATCATAGAACCATAGAGCTGGAAGAGACTTCAGAGGGTCATCAAGTCGGGAGTTTGGGTGCAGAAGGGAGCTTGGGGTGAGGGATCGGGGTGCAGGAGCAGGTGGGGGGTCTGGGAGGGAGTTTGGGCGAAGGAGGCGATTGTGACCTAGGGCACAGGACTGGGGTGCACTAGGGGTGCAGGGGTTTGGGCTCATTTCCCCCCAGCCCGTCCTGGCAATGTCCCTCCCAGCCCAGTCCCTGGTCCCCACCAGCCCCGTTCCGCCAGCGCCGGCCTCACCTGGGTGGGCAGGATGCCGTGTTTGATGCCCGTGTTGTGCGTCCCCGTGCCGATGACCCCCGCGGCCGCCACTTCAGCGGCAGACCCACAAAGCCCCGTCCCGGGGCAGGGCGCTGGGGGGGCTGTGCCCGGGTGCGTCTCGAGTCGATATTAATTAACCTGACGTCCGAGGGCCGCTAATGGCCAGCTGCCCCAGACCAGGGCCTGCCAAGCCAACCTCAGTCCCAGCTGAGATCACAGGCTGCCGGGCGGGGACCAGACGTGGGCCGGACACTCCGATTCCAGACGGCCCCTGTGCTGCTCGCCCAGGGCCTGACGCTGATCTCAGGGATCGCCCCACCCGTCCCCCAACCCTGGCACGGACCCGGCGCCAGGCAAGCGAGACGTGCAGGGGGCAGGCTGAGCCCTGCCTGCTTCTGGGCACGGAGGGGAACGGTCACAGCACACAGGCCCCCCTTCCCTGCAAGCCTCCCCCATCCCCTGCTCGCAGCCCTGCTGACGGGGAGCTGCCTCCGTGGCTGAGCCAGCTGGGACAGCGCAGGGGGAACCGACCCGCAGCCCAGCACACCGACCGCCTGGGCTGCTGGCTGCCACCAGTGCCCCGCGGACGTCCCGGCCCTGGGGAGGTGCTCGCCGGGGTGGGAATTCGGAGCCAGGAAAGCAGCTGGAAGCGGTTTGCAACTGGCCAGTCCGCCCTCCCGCGTTGCTTTTCCCGGGGGCTGGGGAAGCGCTGGCTCGAAATCCAGCCGCAGCCCAAATCTGCCCCCTGGAGGAGGGGCCTGGGTAGGTCGCCGCGTGCAGCGCCGCAGGGCTAAGTACCACGACACCGTCCCTGCCCTGCCGCGAGAGCGGCGCCCGGTCTGCGGGAAGGGAGCAGCCTGGGGCCTGACCTCCCTGGGCCCGCCCGAGAGCGAAGGGACAGAGCCGGGGACTCGGTTCCTCTTCCCCAAGCGCAGGCGCGTGCCGACCGGGAATGGCCCGGCCGTGCGGCGGGAGATGGGGAATGCGCCCGGGGTGCAGGAGACGGGGGACCCCCAACGCGCCGTCACAGCGCCCCACCCCCTTGCGCCTACACTGGCCTGGAGCCCCCCGGAACAGATCGGTTCCTGCCGCAGTGACCCCTCCGCTCACGCCCCGGGGCAAGTCTTTTTGGACCCGCCCCCAGGCCCAGCTGGCACCCGGTGCAGGCGTCCCTAGAAATTCCTATTGACCGAGGAGCCAACGGATGCGACCCCCAACGCGCCGTCACAGCGCCCCACCCCCTTGCGCCTACACTGGCCTGGAGCCCCCCGGAACAGATCGGTTCCTGCCGCAGTGACCCCTCCGCTCACGCCCCGGGGCAAGTCTTTTTGGACCCGCCCCCAGGCCCAGCTGGCACCCGGTGCAGGCGTCCCTAGAAATTCCTATTGACCGAGGAGCCAACGGATGCCGTTAACCTGGGACTGGAGGGTGTTCTAGTATCGGGGACGTTCACACCCGGCCTGGCCCCCAGCCACCCCGTTCCTGCCGTGACCCCACCTCCGAGCCCGGCTGGAACAGGCCCTCAATTCTACTGGCTGGTGGAGTCTGTTTGTGCCATTTCGGGGTGCAGGAGACGGGGGACCCCCAACGCGCCGTCACAGCGCCCCACCCCCTTGCGCCAGCAAGATGCTGTTCTGAGGCCTCAGCAGGGAGATGCAATGGCCCGGGTTGGGGGGTTGGATTGCTGGAGCGCTGCTTTCCCATGGGAGCAAACAGCTGGTGGAGTCTGTGTGTGCCATTTCGGGGTGCAGGAGACGGGGGACCCCCAACGCGCCGTCACAGCGCCCCACCCCCGTGCGCCTACACTGGCCTGGAGCCCCCCGGAACGGATCGTTTCCTGCCGCAGTGACCCCTCCGCTCTAACACTACGGTGTGTGGACACTCGTACCCCAGAGCATAGGTGTGTGCCATTTCGGGGTGCAGGAGACGGGGGACCCCCAACGCGCCGTCACAGCGCCCCACCCCCGTGCGCCTACACTGGCCTGGAGCCCCCCGGAACGGATCGTTTCCTGCCGCAGTGACCCCTCCGCTCTAACACTACGGTGTGTGGACACTCGTACCCCAGAGCATAGGTGCCTTAGCCACCCCTTCCCGGCCGGGACCCCACCTCCGAGCCCGGCTGGAACAGGCAGAGCCAGAGAGATTGGCAGGAGGGCGTCTGGCGCGGGTCACACAGCCAGCCCAAGACTCACTCACTTGGGCAGGGCCAGCCCGTGCTTGCTCAGCTCCACGTTGAGATCGGAGAGCAGGATCCCCGCTTCCACCGTCACTCGCCTCTTCTCCTCGTCCACCTGCAAGAGACGAGCTGTGAGCGCTGGGATCCGGGCCGGGAGAGACCCCTGCTGCATGGCCCAGCCCTGGAGCAGCTCGCACTGAGAAGCCCCCGGGCCGGGCGACCGTGCAGAGCCGGGTGGTGAAAGCCCCTGTCTCCGGAGCCGTCCTGGCTCCCGATGCGTCGTGTCTGGGGAGAGATGGGCGGGCCGGGGGGCTACTTGCTCTAAGGCTCCGCCAGCTCTGTGAAGGGAGGGGGAGGGGCCCCCCAGTCGTGGGACCGCCCCACAGGACAAGGAACCAGGGCTGGAGCCAGACTCCCGAGACGACCGGCTGTTGGGTCAGATTTCCCGTCTCCCCGGCGGGTTTAGTCTCCGGCGCCCGGCAGCTCTGCTTCTGGACAGCAGGCCGGGATAAAATCAGCTCCCCTGATCTCTCCAGAAGGAGGACGTGGAGCCCTTGTTAGGGATGCGGAATCTCGGTGAATTGACTAGTCGAGTAACCACATGAATTCGTATTGGTTAGTCGACTGTTCTATAGTCCCTGGGATGGGCGGGCTGGCAGCCAGCGCGCTCCAGCCCCACTGCCACTCCCTGGATCAGAGGCAGCAGCATGGGGCACCATGCGGGATCTGGTCCGCGGGGGGAGACAGTTTAAAAACCTCCCCTCACGGACCAGCTGTCTGTTGCCCTGATGCAGAGGCAGCAGCGCAGGGTGGAAGCAGCCCCTGTCCCGGGGAGTCTGAGCTCCTGGACCCGGCGCAAGCCAGGACTGAACCCGGCTGCCTGCCTGTCTGGTACTGAAGTTAGACTTACCGGTCTGTAATTGCCAGGATCGCCTCTAGAGCCCTTTTTAAATATTGGTGTCACGTTGGCTACCTTCCAGTCATTAGGTACGGAAGCCGATTTAAAGGATAGGTTACAAACCACAGATAATAGCTCAGCAATTTCCCATTTGAGTTCTTTTAGAACCCTTGGATGAATGCCATCCGGTCCCGGAGATTTGTTAACATTAAGTTTTTCTATTTGTTCCAAGACGAGCTGTGAGCGCTGGGATCCGGGCCGGGAGAGACCCCTGCTGCATGGCCCAGCCCTGGAGCAGCTCGCACTGAGAAGCCCCCGGGCCGGGCGACCGTGCAGAGCCGGGTGGTGAAAGCCCCTGTCTCCGGAGCCGTCCTGGCTCCCGATGCGTCGTGTCTGGGGAGAGATGGGCGGGCCGGGGGGCTACTTGCTCTAAGGCTCCGCCAGCTCTGTGAAGGGAGGGGGAGGGGCCCCCCAGTCGTGGGACCGCCCCACAGGACAAGGAACCAGGGCTGGAGCCAGACTCCCGAGACGACCGGCTGTTGGGTCAGATTTCCCGTCTCCCCGGCGGGTTTAGTCTCCGGCGCCCGGCAGCTCTGCTTCTGGACAGCAGGCCGGGATAAAATCAGCTCCCCTGATCTCTCCAGAAGGAGGACGTGGAGCCCTTGTTAGGGATGCGGAATCTCGGTGAATTGACTAGTCGAGTAACCACATGAATTCGTATTGGTTAGTCGACTGTTCTATAGTCCCTGGGATGGGCGGGCTGGCAGCCAGCGCGCTCCGGCCCCACTGCCACTCCCTGGATCAGAGGCAGCAGCATGGGGCACCATGCGGGATCTGGTCCGCGGGGGGAGACAGTTTAAAAACCTCCCCTCACGGACCAGCTGTCTGTTGCCCTGATGCAGAGGCAGCAGCGCAGGGTGGAAGCAGCCCCTGTCCGGGAGAGTCTGAGCTCCTGGACCCGGCGCAAGCCAGGACTGAACCCGGCTGCCTGCCTGTCTGGCTCCTAACACACTTTAAATGCCGAACTGCAGCGAGGATCGGTCCTGGACTGAGCCAGGCTGCCGACAGGCCGCAAGGGTCACTCAAGAGAGTGAACCGCCCGCTAATCTCAACTGGGTGTTAACTCTGAACCCTACCAACGACCATGGCAATATTGGCATTGGTATCCCTTCTGTGGCTGATCAAAGCAGGGAAGAAAGGGGGACTAGGGCTGTATTACGATCCCCCGTCTGGTGTGAGCAGCCCCTCGTTCTGGCCCCTGCGTGAGCACTGTGTGGGGGGCAGCCAGAGCTCAGGAAAGCACCATCCCTAATTATTTTGTCTGAGAAATGTCGCTCCAGGAACATCTCAGATTCTGGCTTCTGATTGGACGATGCACAAATGATGTCACTCCATGCGGGGCAAGCAGGAAAGAAGGATAAGCTGGAAGAGCGCCACAGCACCTGTGATTGGTGTGCGGAGTGGGCGGAGCTTGATTTGTGGGCGGGGCTCAGAGGCCCACCTCTCTTTTCCCCACGTCTGCAGCCCGACTCCTGCCGGGCACAAGTTCTTTGTTGCGCTGGGGGGAGGGGCAGCGGTTTCGCGCGGATTCCGGGGTCTGTGTCACCGCCCGGCACAGATGAGCGCACCACCAGTGTATTGTCACGTACAGCGGGTCGCAACGTTTCGAATGTAACGGAACTTTTTAAAACGAGGCCCGTTGTTTAGGATACGTTTGCCGATTTCCCCCGGCACCTTGGGTTTCTCACCTGCTGAAAGTTCTTGATTTTGGCCCATTTCAAAATTTGGGGGTTTCCCCGACATTTCAAATGAAATAAAATTTCAATTTTTTGTGTGTGATTTCCCCTCCCTTTTTTGATGCACTTTAACTGTTGTCGTTACTACTATGACACATATGACTTGCAGAATATCTTCCTGCCCCTGTATACAACTATGGTACGCCCACATCTGGAATACTGTGTACAGATGTGGTCTCCTCACCTCAAAAAAGATATTTTGGCCTTGGAAAGGGTTCAGAAAAGGGCAACTAAAATGATTAGGGGTTTGGAACGGGTCCCATATGAGGAGAGGTTAAAGCGACTGGGACTTTTCAGGTTAGAAAAGAGGAGACTGAGGGGGGATATGATAGAGATCTATAAAATCATGAGTGGTGTGGAGAGGGCCGATAAAGAAAAGTTATTTATTAGTTCCCTAAATAGAAGAACTAGAGGACACCAAATGAAATTAATGGGTAGCAGGTTTAAAACTAATAAAAGAAAGTTCTTCTTCACACAGCGTGTAGTCAACCTGTGGAACTCCTTGCCAGAGGAGGCTGTGAAGGCTAGGACTATAATAGAGTTTAAAGAGAAGCTAGATAATTTCATGAAGGTTAGGTCCATAAAAGGCTATTAGCCAGGGGATAAAATGGTGTCCTTGGCCTCTGTTTGTCAGAGGCTGGAGAGAGATGGCAGGAGACAAATCGCTTGATCATTGTCTTCGGTCCACCCCCTCTGGGGCACCTGGTGCTGGCCACTGTCGGCAGACAGGATACTGGGCTAGATGGACCTTTGGTCTGCCCCAGTCCGGCCGTTCTCATGTTCATTCATTGACCCCAACGTGTCCCCGCCCCGTGACGCTCTGGAGACAGCCCATCGCCTGGCAAAGCAGGGACCCACCGTACCTTGAGGATCTTGTTCATCTTCCCCAGGTGAAGCATGAAGTCATCCGTGCAGGCAATGTCGGAAGGGGAATGGCCCCCCCCAACCACCTTCACCCTCTTGCTCCGCTGCCGGGCCAGATCCAAAATCTGCAAAGACATCACCCTGCAGGCTGTCTCCCTTGCAAGGGCACCGAGAACCCCGAGAGAACCAGCCACCCACGGGACTCGAACCCAGGACACTTGCACCCCAAAGCAGCTAGAAGCCCGTTTGAGCCGGATGAGACACACTACACAGGGCAGTGCGTGCGGTAACACGGCTGTGCTCTCCAGGCCACTAGAAGGCGCAGAGCGTCACAACAGCGCCCGTGCGGAGCCCTGCAAGCCCACGGGATCCCCGGCTCATTGTGCGGCGGCGTGTGTCTGCGCAGGGCTCGGCGCGCGGGAATGCACCGGGCAGTCGCCAACACGCCACACCCAGCAAAATCCAATCTACCTGCCTCAAAGGGGCACTGACAGGTGTATGCACCCTGCACCCCGGGGGAAATCCACTGCCTGCAGACGGCCACGGGAGGTCTAGGCACCCTTACATCAGGGCTTCACTGGATTGCAGGGGGCCCAGGCCTCCTGCGGCGACCCCCAGAATGTCACCCCGAGATTCTCCTCCCGCTCCCCCTCCCCTGCTGCTTTTTGCTCAGGACAATGCGGGGTCCTGCGGCACCTCACAGACCAAAAACATATTCGGGCAGAAGCTTCCGAGGGCTGGAGCCCACTTCGTCAGATGCACGAGGTGGAAACGTCCCTCTGGCAGGGATCTGTACACACAGACACACAAAGCGGGGCGTGCGGCATTGCTGGGCGGAGGGGGGCCTCCTCCTCACCTCTCTGATCTCCTCCACCGATGTCGGCTGGAAGTACAGTTCGGGGGAGGAGCCATACGTCTGAGCCCAGTTCTGGAATTTGACCCCTTCCTGGCCGTGAACCTAGGAGAGAAACAGGTGAAAGCTGACAAAGGGAAAGATTTTCCCCCCTCACAACATGTTTTAACCTGTGGAACTCCCTGCCACAGGAAGCTATTCAGGCAGAGAAATGAACAACATTGCAAAGGGTCTGAAGAGTGATATGGGTACAGACACAGGCAGAGTGAGCATAATTAATAACAGCAGAATTCTAGAAGGGCTATTAATTATTGGACATCATTCTTCAGGACTTTTGCCAGTCTCTAAATACGAGCCCAGGATGTGAGCTCTGCGGAGGCAGATTATCCCATAGACACCTGCTGGGGGGGTTCTTACCCCTTTCCCTGAAGCCTCTGGGGTGGCCCTGCCAGAGAGAGGACCCTGGCCGGTGGGTCTGACGCAGTCTGGCTGGGCCATTGCCCCCTTGGCAGCAACAGCCAATGGTCAAAGCGAGAGGAGAGGGGCCGACGGGACATGGAGCAACGAGCAGCCCCTGGAATCGCCCTCCGAGGGCTGGGATGCTGGGGGAGGGGCTGCTTGAGGGAGCCAGGCCCCTTCTGTCCCTGACATCCCCCCCCACTACAGACCCCTCCCTGCTTCCCTCCGACCCGTGACACCCCGACTGCTCCTTGTTCCCCGTGCAGAGCCAGGCCCACCCCCTGACTGCCTGCTCCCTGTGCAGAGCCCCCACCCCTCCACCCCCCCACCCCGACTGGCCCTGCT